ATAATCAGAAAAATTAAAGTTTAAGTAATTTAATAGGAAGTGTAATCAAATTGTTTTAACATAATGATTTGTTTATTTTTTAATTATTTATAAAAAAAATAATAATAATGATAATAAGGAAGTTTTTATTATAATTTTCTAAAACCATAAACAGAATTCTGATTATTGCTAAATTGATTAATTTATCAGAATTCTGAAAATTAATATTTATTTTATTTATTAAATTCCTATGAGAAATTGTTCTCATAAAATATTTTAGGATACATTTCAAGGCCAATAACTGATCAAATTTTTTATCACTTCCATCATCCGGATATTGGATATTCCTATATCACAACATATTGTATTTCACTCACATGATTATCTATATTTTGAAATTTAATTAATGGATATTGAATGTCACCAACTAATTCTGATATTATTCTCTAAAATATAGAAAATATCATGGAATGAAATATATACTGTATATAGATTTGTTCATTCTCTACATCACTTATAATAATAAAACTAAACTTTGAAGTTAAAGATAGATAAAAAGATTATCACAAAGTACAAATTCTGCAAAACTTTCACAAATGTTTATAAAAATAGTAAAAAATATACCAAATATTCATACAATTTTTTCTATAAACTAACATTACAAGTTTAATTTTAGCATCTCATATAAGCACCACCTTTAAATATATACAAAATACATTAAAAAAAAAAAATTTCCACGCAAATTTACCTTCAGAATTTAAAATAAAGTAAACTAAATAACATCTGCAAATCTATAAACTGATTATTCTATTTAAAAACAAAAAAAACACACATTTTTAAGTGAAATACACGTTAATGCAGCCTGTACACGTTGTCAATTGTATGTAATTGCGTATACAATTGTTTAACACACAATACTAACAATTGGTAAGTGTTAAATACGTAAAACGTTGTGTTATGTGTTTATTAAAAATTACATTAGATAATTTAACGCTAGTTACGGTTATTTCGTACGGAATAAACGTGTATCAAATGATAAAAACATATTTAAAAAAAAAATAATAATAATAATAAGACTTACCTTTATCTCGACCGAGCTGAAAATAGGTTTCAATGCGTTGAGAAAAACTGTGATTTTGATAAAATATGAAAGTTGTAATCTTCCATGTTTACCGATCAAGTCGTTCCTTTGTTCTTTCCGTTTAATTTGTCGTTAAACGCGTTCATGATATTTAAATTGTTTGTAAAGACGAGAAAATCGTCCGAGTCAGGTAGATCGTTTAATCACAAGGAAAACATTTACTCGCTTTCTGGTTGAATCCAATCTGATTCGCGATCGTAGCGCCAAAAACGTCGAGTTTTGTAAACACTCCATTATATTTTTCATGTGTTTGTTTTTAAATCGATACGTTTTCGATTTTGTATTTAATTATGCAATTTATCTTTCGATTATAATCGAAATGTTAATTATATTTTTTTTTAATCGAACTTTCTGACGGAATAATTTTTTTTTTTAAATATTGTATGAAGAATCACTCACGAATTGTATTTCGTATAAAATATAAAGAATTACGGTAACTATGAGTGATTCTGTATAATTTTATATAGAATTACGCGTAATTTCTCGATAGTAATTTAAAATTAAGAAATTAATATTGTTTTAGATATGTTTTCTCTTGTTACGCGCGCACACACTTGGTATGAAAAAATCCTAATAATATGTACTTATTTTATGATTTTGTAATTAGATTCTAGAGTTTTTGACCTTTATAAAAAAAACCAAAAGTTCTAGAGTTGTAATATAATCGAGTTATAGAGGTTAAATCTTTAAAAATGATCTGATCCATCAACGGGATCCGGCAGGACCTGAAAAAAACAAGTAACATTATTCCTTGTGTATTCGAATTCCTTGTGTATTCAGTAATACACAAGAAATTCGATGGAAGGAATGCCAAATAAATAATATAACTAGTTTAATTCTGAGATTATGGTTATAAATAATACCGATTCTGGGAAAATTGCAATTAAAACTGCAACCATTGAAGTTTTATGTTAAAAATTTTCAAATTTATTTCTCGCTACTAGTAGATACAATTGTTTAAATAATAAAGAAATTTTTATTAAATATTTTAATACCTTATATCTAAAATTGTTCAATATATTTACGTATGTATTAACCTTATTTTTGGATCATCATTATTATAAATTTCTCAGAAAAAGTAATTTTAAACAATTTAAAAATACGAAAAGAAAAAAAATATATATATTGTTTTTAAAATTATCTTCTTTTAAATCATTTAAAAGAATTTTCTTAAAGATTTTTTTTAAAAATTGGAGCTATTCCAACTACTTTAATTGTAATTTTTTGGTAATCTTTTCTCAATAAATTAAATCAATTTTAAAAGTTAATAGAAACATGTCATTCATCTATTTTTTCCTCTGTCATTTTCTTTCTTTTTTTTTTTTATTAATAAAATGTATTGAAAGTAAAAGAAATTAACTTTAGTTAGGATATTTAATATTAACCCATTAATTATATATATATATGCTATACACACGCACATTACATCTGCAAATGTCTTTATTCTAAAATTTTTATATTTATAGCAAATTTCGTTAGAAGAAACTTTACTATGTGATACTAAAGCAAAAATATTTATGAATTTTCTTAATTTATTATAATAATTTTACACTAAAATTTTACATTAATATCAAGTAAATTAGTCATGTCTTTATGAGTTGGCTTTTTATCAATGTTAAAATAGTAATTATTATAAAAATATTCCTTATTTTCTGACAAAATATGATTAATACTTTTAATTGCAACAAACTTGGAAATCCTTGTTCAAAAGATCCGTTTCCATAGAGGAATCATCATCCGGAGGATGTTATAAAGAGGGCAATGGCTATAATTTTAATTTCAATGCGGATCTCTAAGTTAAAATTCTAATTTTATTGGAAAATAAATTCAAAATTTGGTTGACTGTCAATTTTATCTAATACAAGATCATCATTTGCTATCTTATGCAGCGGAATTTTGAACTAATATTTTTGTTGTTATAAGTATTCCCTACTAAATAATATTAAAAGTTAGCATTAATGTCTGGCCGCTTTAATCTGCCAAACAGTTTATAATTAATATTATATTCAGATTGCCTATTTTTCCTCTAAGAAGTTACTTGTGTTTCTTTCCATTCTGTACAAGAATTTTAATTTTTTCTGGAGATCTTCCATATTGACGGCTGAAACTTATTAAAGTAATTCCTAGATTTTCGTGAAAGACCAACTGTAAAATTTTCTTTTTCGCAAGGCCTTAAAACGAATTATCCCATATTGTTAAGTCTAGACTTCGAGGAGGCCATACCATACTTACTCGCTTGTATCCATCACACTGAAGCCCTATAGAAAGATTAAAAATAAATAAATAAAATAATTATCAGGGACACAATCTCGTGTAGGGTTGTTTTGCATGTGGGAAAATAGTTGAAGCCATTAATGTGTAAAATTCTTGATGAAGAGAATTGAATATCACAAACCTCAAAAAATCACTTTATAAAAATATTTTATTTAATCAGATTAATATTTGAAATAATTCTTTAATTTCACATGTTAAATATTTATTTTAATTAACATAATTCATTTAAAAATACATATATTATATTATTTTTATTTTTTACAAACTGTTAACTTAATAATTTACGTTTAAAAATAAAAATTATTTATATTTTGAAATGTAAAACAAATTAAAAGTTACTTAACATTTAGAATGTCTCATTAATAACTGAACTTATTGGGGGGGAAATTATAGAAAATTTTATACATAAAACATTTATAAATAAAAACTCTAATTTTCTGCTGTTTGTTTGAAGTAATTTTTGTTTCATTTAATCAATATTTTCTTAAATAATTAATTACCTAAGGTTTTTTTTTTTTATTTTATTATACTCATTAAGGAAAAATATTTTAATAAGGCAGATAAAAATAACATTCTTCATTCAATTTTTAATATATTTGCCTCTTTTATGATTGTTACACTGTGGAAGAGTTGTATTAAGAAAAATATACACTGTAGTATATCTTGAACATCAATCACAAAGCATGAAATAGTCACACAAATCCTTTTGTGCCTTTATAAAATATAATAATAGCAAGTTTATAATTATTTTCATATTAATTTCACTATTTATTTTACTATCCTCCATCTAAATTCTATTTTAAACCATTTAACATCAAAGACATGAATAAGACACATGTGGTGCTAAGAAATATCACATTTACAATGGTGTTAATCAAATATCATTTGCAATTTCTTTTATACATTGATTAATTTATCATTCATTCATCCAATTAAATGTTTATAAAATTTCTTTGAAAAAAATATTAGAATTTTCGATTGCTATTGTTACTTGTGTACAATATTTATACATTTTGAGTAATTACAATTTGATTATTTCAAAAAGAATCTTTTCAATTTAAATTTTAAACCTGAAGATGTTCTTTATTAACAAAGTCAAAAATTCTAGGGTTCCCTAAAATTTACTTACTGTTAAACATATATTCATTAATTTGGTAGAGTAACTACAATGGCTAGTTCATCCTTTGAAATAATATCTAACACTTTTAATGTGTTAAAATGTGCATATAATGTGTTTAAATGTTTTTATGTATACATATATTTTTAAATTATTAGTATTAATTTTATTTACATCTAGGATTTGAAGCACAACTTTTTATCAAATGAAATTTCCAGGCTTCTTCAGTTCCAGAAAGTGTCTGGGAACAAAGAGGGCATCTTGTAACTCCCACTTTACCTTTCAATTAAAAAATATAGCTGTTGTCAAATAGTTTAAAAATAAAATTTTAATTACAGATTTTATTAACTTACCAGAACATTTTATTCTGTGACTGTCGGCATTCTTTTTCTGGATGGGTTCCTGACACCGACTACACTTATCATATAGATTTTTTGATTCACATTCAACTAAAAGATGTTCATTTAAACCTGATATTTCTACAACCTAAAAATAAGAAAAGATTTGAAATTATTCTTCATATTTATCTAATTTAATTAAATAAATTTCAACAAATAAAGAAATATATATAAAATTACTTGCCTGTTTGCAATTCTTGCATTTTATTAACATTGGACAATCTTTCCAATAATGTACTTCAAGACCTTTATCTGTAAATTTATCATTCTTCTCTCCACAAAACATACATCTCCTAATATAAAAATGTTAAAATATATTAAATTAATTAGTTTATTATTAATAATAAAGTTGCTTAACTCAAATTTTTTCTTGTATAAACACTTCAATAATGTCACTTTACTAGAAGCACCAAATTTATATAAAAAAATTTAAATGAATCATTTAATTCAATTATTTCTTTCATTCAACGAACTTATCAAGACTTGATGCTTCATCTTCATCATCCTCAGCAGAAGCTGGATGGATATTTCCAAGAGAATTAATTCTGGCTACTTCATTCGATTTAGCTTCCGATCGTTTTAAAACGCCAGCAGGCTTTTTTAGATGCATTTTTCTGCTATTCTGAAAAAAATAAAAATTATATTTAGAAACAGAATTTTATGGGGGGAAAAAATTGCAATTTCCCATCTTACTTCATTATCAATGCGATCAAATTCGTCAAATAATCTACGATATTTTATATTATTTCGACGTTGCTCACTTAAATCAGAATAGGGTAACTGCTTTCGTACTTTATTCCCAAATTCCTTATATAAAATTATTATAATTCTCTCTGCAACTTCTCTGACAGGAGCTGAAGGATGTTCCAAAGCATTCAAAGCAAATGCCATAACTTTATTAAATTTTAACCATCTAAAATAAAAAATATATGTTAATTAATTCACATAATTTAATCTTTGTTTTGACATATGGATTTTTAATTAAAATTTAAAATAATATTATAATTACTCAGTATTTGAAACAGGATATTGTTTTATAAGTTCTTCAACCAATTCACATCTTCCTAGGGCCAATCTTAAATTGATTGTACGTTGTAAAGGTTGCAAACAATAATGTGGAATAGTCTGTAAATCCTATAATTAAAAAAAATTATTAAATTTTTAAATCTATAATTATATCATTTATAATAAAATTAATCAAATTTTTAAAACCTGAAGTTCTTTATAGTCAGCAGTTTCCAACATAAAATCCATAGATGTTGTTTTCATACGTACTGCCTAATTAAATAAATTAAAATGAATATAATTCATAAATTTCTTTAATTATAATTTATTCAACAAACTTACAGTATCACCCATCCTATTTAAAATTTCTGGATAGACAGTGTCTACAAAATCACTAATTTCAGTCTTTGTCATTCTGCAATTATAGAAATAGTAATAATAAAAAAAGTTTTTCAATGTAACAGAGATTTACTTATTTTCATTTTCATTCTAATGAATTTTAAAAATAAGCATACTTATTTTTTGTTACAAAAGGATTTAATGCAGTTTTAATTACATCCAGAGCTAACACGAAAACCTATAAAATATTAGTCATATATTTATATAACTACAGTATTAATTAATACATAATAAATCTAACTTGTTAATTTAAAAGCATATATTGTAACAATAAATACAGTTTGTAAGTAATCATTTTCTGTTTCAGTTTAGATCATTATTATTTTTAAAAAAGTATTAAACTGCTTAAAACAGATTTCCTGCAAATATTGATGTCTCTGAAAACTGGCTATATGGAATTAAAATACACAAATGTACTCAAAACAAGTAAAAGGAATAGCAATATTTACTGATAAGAACATTTTCATTCATTTCTAATCAACATCATTAGGTATGTCAGAGCAAATATCAAACAGAACGTTTGTATCAGTAGTTGTTCTGCTCATTATTTGTTATGACATACACAATGATGTTCATTAGAAACAGATGAAAATGTTTGTACCAGTAAATACTTTTTATTCCTTTTTACTAATTTTGGTTATATTTGTGTTTTTTCATTTGCTGCAAATTTTTAAAAATAATTTAGCTACTAAATATTGTTTGAAGTAATATAAAAATATGTTCTGTTTAAATAGTTTAGTTTTAAAAAAATGATTAATTAACACATAAGACTAGTAAATTTAAGATGCATTTATTTTGCCAAACAAGTTTAGACTTTTACGTCAGTTTGACATCAAACTGTCACAAAAGTATATATATATTTGGCAAAATGAATATACCTTCATTTTATACACAATTATATTTATTATGGGTAGGGCTTCTTTACAATGAAGTCAGCCAGCATGGATAAATGATGAGAAATTATGCACCATCCATGCTATATACGATAAATTATGGGACTGAATTAGGTTCAAAATCAGATCCCCCATAGGTTAATGATAGGCTAATACTGTATGACAGGGGTCACCAAACTACAGGTTGAGGACTGGATCCGGCCCACTGCCACACTGTGCCACAAATGAGCTAAAATATAACTATTTATATGAAAATATTATAGACTGTAGATAAACTTACTATGTAGAAAAAATTATAATAAGTGTAAGTAAAAATGCCAAAGTTGGTCCAATCTGATTTTTCATCTGACAATAAAATCGATAAAATCAGTAAAATAAAAAATTTGGTGACTTTTTGTGATATTGGATATCATAGCACTTTTTGTGTAAGTAACTGCAATGAAGTTTCTAAGAAAAGTGATTACGAGCTTTACTGCAGTGATTGTGTTTGTGTATTAGTAAATAAATAAATTGGTTATCTTTATTTTTTGCATATTCAATATATTGTTATTGTATTGAATGTATTGAACAAAATGGTTATGTGTTCCACGTTTGTCATTCTCTCAGTTATTTGGCCCTCTGTGAAAAAAGTTTGATGACCCCTGCTCTATGACATGGTAATTACTTTAATATTTTCAAATCAGTTTCTCTAGAAACTTAAATACTATATTCTCAGTTTATTTAAAATAATTACAAGAATGTTTATGCATTCAAAACATCTTACAGAAAATACTTTATCTTTTAATGCTTTCAATACAAGAAAATTTGTTGCCAATAATACATCAGATGGTGAATGGCCTTTAGTTTTTTGCCTATATTGTTGTAGAAACAACTGAACCTTTTTCAGAGATTCTTCTCGATGAGAGTATGTTTTAGAATAAGCTTTTTCCACCTAAAAATATTTAAATTCTATTATTTAATAAATTACGTAAGAAACAGTAATTATTATTATTTTATTACCACTTACCAATGGTAATCCAAATACATCAATTGGAAGAGAAGCTGCCTTCTTTTCTTTTTCAGTTAGTTTATCATATGATTTATTTTCACCTTCAGGTGGTTCTGCATTCAATAAAGAAGGCTGTTCTTTTTTCCTCTGTGATTTACTGTATAAGAGAGGAGTGTATAGTTATTTTAAATTCAAATAATAAAATATTTTATATATTGCTAAATTTTCATTAAAATTTAATTTACTTTTTTAATGCTGGAACTACACTATCATCTAAAGACATATAACCATTAACCATTGGACTGACACTTTCAAGCGGTGGTGAAACTGGCTTCTTTACAGTCATTGGTGGCACTAATTCTTTCTTCAATTTAATATCTGTCATCAGAATTTTGATAATAAATTTTTCAAACCATATTTAAAAATTTTAAATATGAGAAACATGTAATAAAATTAAAATTTCAAAATTGAACAGGATATAATTAAAGTTTTACTATCGAAACTCTTACCTTCCACATTATCCTGATCAGGATTGTGCTAAAGTTTTATAATATAAGTTAACAAATAAACTATTTATATGTAATTTTAATGTTTATGAATTAATAGCCAAGCACAAATTTAGATTTCATTAAATACAGAAATGATTATTACCCCTTCCATTTCCAATAATTCAGGCAGCTTTAATCTTTCATAATGTTTAATACGGTATTCATCCATTTCTTGCTTTTTTAAACGTGCTTTATCATAATCTTCAGCTTCTACAGCTTGCTGCTTTTCTATTTCATATTTTCCAAGCTTCTCTCCAATCTTTTTAAAGTTGAAAATTATAAAATTATTAAAGAATTTTAAGATTTAAACTAAACAAATATCAAACTAAGTTAATATAGTATATATTAACTTATAGTAAAGTACAGTATAATTTACATTAAATATAAACATAAATTAAATAAATTAATTTATATAATTTACACTAAATTAAATTTAAAACATTATAGAGTTAGAAGCAGATAAAACAACATTAAAAGTTGTTTTAAATTGTTTAATATGAAGTATATTTTTTATAATTCATTTTAATTTATTTATAATTATATATTTATAAAATCTTTTACATAGTTGTATAAAGTAAATATATTTATACAAATATAAATTATTTATATTTTAATGAATTATTATTGTAAAGTAATGCCTGAATATGGATTACATGACAGTAAAAGTCATATTTCATTTCATACAAAACCAATCTGCTACTGAATACATGACTCAATTAATCTAAATAGCATATCAAGGTCACTTTAATTCTAAAAGCAATTTTATATAATTTATTATTAAATTACTTTAACCAAATAAAAAAAAAACATTTCGAACCAATGATGTAATAAACTAACACAAATTTAATTTATTGCACTATATATTAATATTAATAAGTCATTATCGTTTTAATACAAAAAAAAATATTTATATACTATCATTTTACTAAAAATTTTGTGAATTAAATAATTAATAATTTGATAAATAAAGAAAAATAAATTCTCATATCTTTTAATTAAAAATTAAGTAAAACAAAGTAAATGCTTTAAAATAAATTTTTTGAATTTCAATTTTAAAAAATTTGGATTTAAATTAAATTTTGTGTACAGAAAAGTAAAATAAAATAATGAATAATTTTTTTAAATTTATTAAAATGTACTAATAATTTACATTACAAGCTTTATGTGTTATTATATTTGATATACTTTTAAAGTCCAGTCCTAATGAATAGACAGATTCTATATTGAATGTAGAAGTTGGATATGTATCAGATGTAGAAGTCTATGTTGTTTTTTTACTAAAAATATTTTCAAAACAAACTGGTTCATCATTGAATAAATTAAATTTAAATCTGTAAACTATTTTATTGTTATTCTAAAACTAAATAATGATGAAAATATTTTTGTAATAAAATTTTTTTTTCTGTATTCAAGACTGTTTTTTGTTATATTGGATGATTATATGAAAAACATTTATCTATTATTATGAAAATAATATAAATATTTTATTAAGTTAATATAGTTTTAAAAAAACATACCTTTCTTAATTCACTAAGAGCATATTTTAGCTTTTTTGCATAAACAAACCTTTCATCTATAAAAACATAAATATATATATTTACATTATGTGCTAAGATAAATTTTAGTAAAATGCTAAAGTATACAATTAATTTATTCTAAAATCTAAATAAAATAATAGAAATTTAAAAAATGAAAAATAGTGAACTAAAATAAAAATGTTAAATTTTGTAAAATTATTAGAACAAATATTGAGAAAATTTGACCTTTCTTTGAGGATTCTTAGACTCATCAACAATGGAAATTCTTTTGGAAGATAAAGTTATCATTTAAGATTTTTTCGTATGTGCATTCTGTATAAATTTCTATTATCAAGAGATATTTTAAAGCAGTTTACACATTGAACGTGATAGAAGACTATAAATAATTTTTGCTTGTTTATGATAGATTTTAAGTGAAAGCAGATGTTTTCAGATAATCTTTAAATAGAAGTTTGGTCTGCTTACAAACTTTTTAGGACATTTTTTTATTTTAAATTGCAAGGAAACTTCAAAGTCTAAGATCACTGTATTGTTTTTTTAATATTTTTTCTTTAATTAGTTGAACATTCAATACTATTTTAGTGTATTATCACTGTTTTCAAAATAAAATCACCCATTAAAGAATTTACTTTTTATTAAAAAGGCAAAATTAAAGAATTAATTTAAATAAATGTTGTAATTAATTAATTGAAATATAGTTTAAAAAAAATTTTTGCACGTAAGAATTAATCTTCAACTATTCAATAAATAAATCAATAAAATCTGTTCTTTTAACTGTAAAATTATGATCATTTTAATAAAAAAAATTAACATGAAAAATCATTGTAATGTATTATGAAAATAAAACAAATTATTAATTATTATAAAATATTTACTTTTCATTCAATTCAAACTGCTTAACTTTGAAGAGAAAATGTATTTAACTCTATGAAAACCAAATTAAATTGGATTTACATTCAAGGAACTTCCAAATATGTTATTTACTTTAATAGTTTATAATTGCATACCATCAATTAAAAATAATAGAAAATACCAATTAATTAACTGAAACATAAATTAAGTTTAATTTACAAATATTTTCCATTACAATGGTAACAATTAAATAGATACACATCAAATTTTAAATTAAATTCTAAATTTTGACCTAGTAAAGTCAAATTATGTAATTAAAATAGTCATCTAATGCCTAATTATTTCATTAGTAAGTAATCTAAATTGATTACGTAATATTATATACAATTAATTTTAATAAAATAAATATATTTACAAGCAACATCTGTCTTAACATGGAAGTTATTTTTTTAATAAAACTTTTATTAAATGATTTTTTATAAAATAACATTGAATTTTAAAAATTTGTATTAAATGATTTTTTATAAAATAACATTGAATTTTAAAAATTTGTATTAATGTATCTCTATCCCATTCCTAAACAATCTTATCAATCACAGATTAAATTATTATATATTCTTCAAAAAAGTTTTATTAAATGCTTGGTTTTTTTTAATTAAGCAAAATTTTGCTAATAAATTTACATTAATTTGTATAAATTTAATTTGGTTTGCTTTATTGTAAATGTAACCCTAGATAACTAAACTTAATTTTCAGTTACATTATAACTACACATTCGTCGAGTGGACTACGTATTAAAAAACGTTAATATCATCAAAATTGTTTAATAAAAATAGGAACTTGTTACACTGCACAATAGTATGGATAAATAGGAACTAAATAAGGACAAAATATTTTGGAAATAAGATTACATTCAGTTGCTACATATGTTAACATTATGGGGCTGCAAAACGCATTTTTGCATTTCATGCAACAGTGTTTTGTCATTCGTCGAGCTTTCAATGGACATAAATAGCATATTTTATGTAGATTCAACGCAGAATGAGTAGGAGCTTCTACACTGTGCACATCATTTAGAATATCCTGTATTATGGTTCTGATATCATGCCTCAAACTCACTGTGTGTAACCGCTGTTGTAGCAGGGGCTCCATGAGTTTTTCTCTCATCTTCATAAAGAAATCCCCNATAAGAATATGGAAAAACTTAAATAAGATATTTGAAAAATGTAAATGTTATAGATTAACAAATACTAATGAAAGAAACACAATGATAAAAATGAGAAAATATTCATTTTAAGTAAATTTTAAAAATCTATTAAGAAATATAATACAGAAGAATCCACTTATTTTAATCACAGATATAATTAGCTATCTAATGTTATCAGAATTAATACAGTCCAAAATGTACAACTTAAATACATTGATAGAATTTGTTTATTATAATCAGAATTTTTATTATAATGATTATTATATTCAGGTAAATAGGGATTTTTAAACTATCTTTTCACATTATCAGTCTAAACAGATTGCTGATGAGATGCAACTGTTACTAGTTATTACTATTAGTTTTAACCAATGTTTCAAACATTAAATTTTTATCATTTTAATCATTACATTTGCTCCTATAGTAGTTTAATTTGCTAGAATTTCTTACTTTAATTACACACTAGTTGTTGTTGAAAATGGTGCTAAAAAAATTAGTAAACACCAAATGAATTACAACTATTAATTCAAAATAATTGAGGAGTTCTATGGAATATGGTACCTAAATTAAATTTTGATGCTTTCAGGAATTCTTAGAAAACTGTTCTTTTTTCATGAGGTTTGTTTATGAAGTGACAAAGTCTAAATGTTTATTATGCTTGAATAAATTGCATATTGTAGCAAGGGGGAATTGTAGCCATATCCTTAAAACTCTATTTGATGTGCATAATAAAACACTTAACTAAAAAAAGGTATCTAAATGCATTAAGATACTTTATTCCATAAAACTTCTCAATTATAATTACTCTTCACATTATTCATTTTTAAATTACTTTAATATGTGATAAAAATTGCCAGGACCAGTAAGTTAAAATTACGAAATTTAAGAAAAATTCTTAAAAGTAGACAATACATAAAAATGTGTCTTCTAACTTTGTCTTTTTGCAGGCACATGAGGAAATTAACAGTTCCACGGCAAAGCGAAAGTCCTCATCCATCTCAAATGAAAGGTTGACTTTGCCGTGGAACTGTTAATTTCCTCATGTGCCTGCAAAAAAACAAAGTTAGAAGACACATTTTTATGTATTGTCTACTTTTAAGAATTTTTCTTAAATTTTGTAGCTTTATGCTTTAATATGTTTTGACAATAACTTCATTAAAATTGGTGATACTTAGAATTGAATGCATAAAAAATGCCAAAACCAGCTGTAAGAATTTAATATATTTACCTAAAATAAACATTTTAATCCATTTTGAATGGATATCATCAGGTTACATAAGTCTAATTCAGAACAGAAAAGTATTTTGAACCAAAGAACAACATTTAGATTGAATTTTCATATAGATGAAAATTCAATACATCCATTCTGTATTATGCGATTCTGTACATCCAAGTATTGCATGCTTAGCAAGCACAAAACATGTACTCAGTTGCTTTCCAGGATGCTGAGCACAAATCTTTGGTCTCAAAATCTGATTGTTCATTTGTTTTTATATTTCTTAAATGAATTTAAATAAGATTGATTACTTTTTTTCTTTTCCAAAGTAGATTTTCACCATTTTTATTCTGTTTTACTACATTTTATTTTTTCTATTATAATTTAACACTTTGTGATAAACATGACAATGGTAGGCTAAAATAACCAAACTCTCAATATTGTTTTCATTTTAATGTTTGTTGTTCTTACTTTTTACCTGGGCAACACCAGGTAAATCCAATAGTATTTTATATTTTAAATTTATATTAAAATTTGATCTAATCTTTTGCCTTTAATAATTACAAATTTTTGATCTATTTAAAAAAATATTAATCAATTCCTTAAAGCATACCTTCAACAGCTTTTTGTTTTCTAGCATATAGATGATGCATAATTTGAGCTACTTCTGTTTCAACATACATTCCAAAAGATATATCATCCAATGGAGAAATAACTTCACTCCTAATAAGAATATAATTATTAAAATAATTATTTATCATCTATTATAATAATTTATCAGTTTAAAATAACTAACTTACTTTTTGGTTGGATGCTGAAGATTTGCCTGAAAAAAATTTTACATTCATTTCTTAATTATAATAAAACATTAAGCTTTTAAAAAAAATCCATAATTAGAAAGTAAGGAATTATATTCAATTATATTAATATTAGATCAAATCTAATGATATACATAAAAAAAATAAAGCAAGTTTTATAAATAAGCAAGCAAAATAAAAAAACTAAACAACAATTTGCACATTAATGGTTTGTTCTTGATCTTTTCTTTCATGAAGAATAACTGAACTGTTCCATTGTGCCTCAATATTTATTCCTGAGTTAATCAATATGAATCTAAATCTTGTTACCAGGAATATAATGAGAAAAAAAATAGAGTAAATTGTTGTAAATTATGGAAAATGACAGTATCTTTTAAATGTATATCACAAAGAATATCTACTCCTTCTCAGATGTAAATCATGAATAAACTTTCTATAATTTCAGTCTTGTTACAGCTATTTCTCTATGTACAAATATAACTAAAGAACACTACAGGCTATCTGATATTCCATTGATAGTCATCTTACAATATTAGTCTAGAATTATTATATGAATACACAGATGTAAATCTGTTTATTCATATGATAATTCTAAAATAATATTGTAAGATGATAATTGAATACATCTGTTGAGCTGTATGCTATTTCATTTCTGAATGATGCAATAAAATAAAACATTGTTTCTACATAATCAGAAAAATTTTCAATAAATTTCATTGTAAAGAAAATTTACATTAATACAGTACTAGACCAAATATTTGACTTCAAGCAGTCTAGAATTACCAGAAAACTAGCTACTTTTCAAACTGGTAGTTTTGAATTTGGTAGGCTGTAGTACAGCTGCAGTTCACCTCATGGCTACTTTTATTTTGGTTTCCATGGTATACATGTTGCACAATGCCAGTTCTAGTGTGACTGTTGCATGCAGGTAACTCTCTCACAGTTAATTTCTGTCAAAATTTATTATAATTTTTATTTATAACTATATATAAAAAGCCATTATAAATAATAATCAAACAGACTCTGCTTTAGAAGTGTATTCATTTGTATCTGTTAAATACAATTTGGTTCTTTATTTTCTATTTGTTTATAAGAAATGAACCTCTTCATACACACCGGAGGAAATACAATTCACCACATCCGAAAACCCTTTGTAACTCTAGTGATATGTGTTTACACACCAGCAAACGTTTTCGACCCCATCTGGGTTTTCATCAGACTACGGTTATACGGAATTCGAACATATGCAGAATAGAACAACAAAACTAAACGAATGCGATTCAAACCTTAGAACAAACCAAATTTAAGAATAAAATGGAACATTACCCACGTGCTGAAATGACAGTTAAGCACACGCCACTTCACATTTGCGAAACGTTGAAAACATACAAAATATATGTAATCCAAACTCATTTACTGGGATGGGGTTCCCTCATAACAAAACTTCCACATGCTAGATATCCCCACTGCATCCCTGGAATTGATGTACATGCTATGTAATCTTGCTTTATATATCTCGAGAGTCTCCATGGCTCTCAGTTGATCAATTCGATGCAAGAGCTTGATCAGACGGGCATTTTGTATGTCAGCCGTGATTCCAGGTTCCGTGGAAACCATTGCTAGGGCAGTGGTGTGTTTTTTATTGTCAATGTCGTATTTATGCTCCTGAAGCCATTTATGAAGGGATCGTTTGGTTGAGCCCACATAAACCGATGGGCTGTTAAATCTGTCATCCCAAAGCGGGACAGCATATACCCCCGGTGCGTGTTTCAAGTCTATTGTGTCTTTTCCGTTGCAAAGTAGGTTGTAAACAGATCTTGGCCTACTATAAGCTATCTTAGTCTTAGTGATGGATGAAATTTCCCTGTATATTTTATCCAGATGGTGGTTGTATCGTATAACTTTTCTTGCACCTTCATTATTCAAAGACTCCCCAGGGGCATTGGTAATGTCACATGCGTTTGCCCTTGTGTAAGCGCAAGCGATATTATATATTAAGTTCTCATTATACCCATGCTGTGTGGCTATTTCCTGAATGTGTTTTAGCTCATCTATCGTGTCTTCATAATTAGAGTTGTGCGCGAATGCCCTCTTAGTTAAGGCCCGAAATGCCGCGATCTTGTAAGAATACAGATCCTCCAAGTTGGCGGGGATGAAGAATGGTACATAGGACTTTTTGTAATAGACCTTGGATATGATCCCATTATCCTTAATTTAGGATAATGGGATCATATCATTTCAATAACAATTTTTCATCACTTTAAAAAAGTAAAAAAAAATTTATTTTTAGGGCTACTTATCCATTTTTATAAAAAAATAATTATTATTTTCTTTGAGAAGATAATAAATAATCCAAATAGTTTGAGAAATATTTTTTGTTACTTGTTTTTAATTTACTTTAATAGCAATTTTTTATATTGTCAAAATGGCAATTTTATTCTAAATTCAATACAATTTGTAATCTCTGTAAATGTTCATACACAGTTTGAATATAACTGTATCAAACAAATATTAATAATAATTCATAAAACTACATTTTATTCATTGCTAATTGAATTATGTTTGAAGAAATTAAATAAGATTAAAAAAAAAGCAATTATCATCTCTAAATTATTTCTTAATTTGAATATCTGAATGTTCAAAATCTTTCAAAGTTTTGTGTTTTAGTTATTTGAACATCTCATATGAATAAATATAATACTAATAAATTTTAATAAATTATCCCTTGTAAATATTCTTGCTTCTTGTCTGGGTTAATGCTTCTTCATGTAGCTCAAATTTGGCTGATTTGCACAGACTTATCACACCTTGTAGGTTAAGTGATGAAACAAAGTCAGAGATCAGGTTCAAAAATGTATGCTTTATTAGTATTAAACAAGAGAAGAACAAATTGTCACACAGGCATTAATTACATATAAATATCGCTATATTTGCAAGTGCTTTTGACGTGCTATAAAACATCATCCTCAAGCAGACACAATCTCAAACTAAACTTAGAACAACTAAATGTAAAGAATTTAATCTGACATGTGTGGTGACAGTGCGCATGCACCATAATGTGTTGAATAGGTGCCAAGAAAGAGCTAGAGATGATGTTTTAATCTTTTATACAAGCTGACCCACATAGTAGGCAACTCAAACATGGGGAGTTGCACGGATTTAGTAAAATGGTAAGGAGGGCCTCCCAAACATACACCAGGCTCCTCTGATCACAATACTCGAGCATTGCCACACGGTCCCAAAGTGGGGTGTGTTGGTGTTGTAACACCATCCTTGTTAGCTCAGTGTCACACCTGCCTGCCCTGATGGAATGTTGGTGTTTGAAGATGTGGCAAGATAACATTCTAGTTGTTGCTTCTATGTAGTGGGTGTGAATACCAGATGTTGTGTTTTCCAATGGGATAGAGTATATCCCACACAGTGGCGGCCTTAGGGGGTGGCGAGCAGGGCAATCGCCCGGGGCCTCGCTCTCAGAGGGGCCTCGCGCAACAACCAAGTAGAAAAAAGTTGATATTTAAAACTTTTTATTTTATCCTTGGCTATTAGTTATAACAATAAAATAAATTTAATTTATAGTACAGTATATATTAATATTAATAAGTGCCTACTATTTCAATTCACATACTTTGCNAATGTTAAATTTTGTAAAATTATTAGAACAAATATTGAGAAAATTTGACCTTTCTTTGAGGATTCTTAGACTCATCAACAATGGAAATTCTTTTGGAAGATAAAGTTATCATTTAAGATTTTTTCGTATGTGCATTCTGTATAAATTTCTATTATCAAGAGATATTTTAAAGCAGTTTACACATTGAACGTGATAGAAGACTATAAATAATTTTTGCTTGTTTATGATAGATTTTAAGTGAAAGCAGATGTTTTCAGATAATCTTTAAATAGAAGTTTGGTCTGCTTACAAACTTTTCAGGACATTTTTTTATTTTAAATTGCAAGGAAACTTCAAAGTCTAAGATCACTGTATTGTTTTTTTAATATTTTTTCTTTAATTAGTTGAACATTCAATACTATTTTAGTGTATTATCACTGTTTTCAAAATAAAATCACCCATTAAAGAATTTACTTTTTATTAAAAAGGCAAAATTAAAGAATTAATTTAAATAAATGTTGTAATTAATTAATTGAAATATAGTTTAAAAAAAATTTTTGCACGTAAGTATTAATCTTCAACTATTCAATAAATAAATCAATAAAATCTGTTCTTTTAACTGTAAAATTATGATCATTTTAATAAAAAAAATTAACATGAAAAATCATTGTAATGTATTATGAAAATAAAACAAATTATTAATTATTATAAAATATTTACTTTTCATTCAATTCAAACTGCTTAACTTTGAAGAGAAAATGTATTTAACTCTATGAAAACCAAATTAAATTGGATTTACATTCAAGGAACTTCCAAATATGTTATTTACTTTAATAGTTTATAATTGCATACCATCAATTAAAAATAATAGAAAATACCAATTAATTAACTGAAACATAAATTAAGTTTAATTTACAAATATTTTCCATTACAATGGTAACAATTAAATAGATACACATCAAATTTTAAATTAAATTCTAAATTTTGACCTAGTAAAGTCAAATTATGTAATTAAAATAGTCATCTAATGCCTAATTATTTCATTAGTAAGTAATCTAAATTGATTACGTAATATTATATACAATTAATTTTAATAAAATAAATATATTTACAAGCAACATCTGTCTTAACATGGAAGTTATTTTTTTAATAAAACTTTTATTAAATGATTTTTTATAAAATAACATTGAATTTTAAAAATTTGTATTAATGTATCTCTATCCCATTCCTAAACAATCTTATCAATCACAGATTAAATTATTATATATTCTTCAAAAAAGTTTTATTAAATGCTTGGTTTTTTTTAATTAAGCAAAATTTTGCTAATAAATTTACATTAATTTGTATAAATTTAATTTGGTTTGCTTTATTGTAAATGTAACCCTAGATAACTAAACT